TGGAAAAAACCTGGAACAGTGGTGAATCTTCCCAGGAGTTACTGGTCTACCAAAATTACTTCAAGAGCACATCAACGAATCATCCAGGAAGTCACAAAATAACTCAAAGGACAACATTAAAGGACCACAGGCCTCATGTTTCAGTTAAGGTCGGAGTTCATGATTCAACAATAAGAAAGAGGCTGGGCAAGAATGATGGAAGAATTCAAGGAGAAAACCACTTCTGAACAAAAAGAACATAAAGGCATGTCTCACATTTGCCAAAAACATCTTCAAGACTTTTAGGAAAATATTCGTGGACTGACAAAACAAAAGTAAATTTTTTTGGAAGGTTGGAGTGACATTACATCTGTAATAAAACAGCATTTCAGAAAAGAAACATCATAGCAACTGTAAAATATGGTGGTAGTAGTGTGATGGTCTGGGGCTGTTTTCCTGTCTCAGGACCTCTACCAAAACATCCTGAAGGAGAATGTCTGGTCATCTGTTCGTGACCTCCAGCAAAGCAGACTTGCGTTTTACAGCCGGACAATGATCCAAAACACACTAGCAAGTCCAAATGAAGATTTTGGAGTGGCCCAGTCAAAGTCCTGACCTCAATACTGACCTAAACTGAGTTGCTGTTGCATGACCTTAAAAAGGCACAATACGATGTAGGTTTGGATTTTTTTTTCACCCTTAAAATGAACACCTGTATTTAGAAACAACATTTTGTGTTTACTTGTGTTATCTAGCTCTAATATTTAAATTTCTTTGATCTGAAACATTCAGGTGTAACAAAAATACAAAAAAAAACCCCAACAAAAAAATCTGGAAGAGTGCAAACTCGTGCACTTTTCACATCACTGTATATAACTTATATACTCATTCCCAAACTTGTGTTAAATACTGCTGCCATGAAATAACACGTATGTAGAAAAGAAACCTTGATACAGTACAGAGTACAAGAAAAATATACTTTACATCAAAAGTGATACTACATGTTTGGCAATTACTCGTTGACGTTAAAATTGGTTTACAATATACAGAATACAAAAATTGTTTCTATGTTTTTGGTTTGTTCTAGTTAATGTTTTTTTTCTACTCCATTCTATCTTGCAGGTTGCAGAGTGATCTGATTGAAGACATAATCACATCTCAGTGAGAGATTTTGTAATTGAAGATTTTTCATTTGGTTTTAATCGTGATAACTTTTGTCTAGTTAGTTAGACACAGCTGGCTGCCAGAGCCACATGGTTATAAGTAGATATGAGGCTGAATGCTAATAAAAGCACCTGACTTGACCTGTCTGTTGTCTTCTATGTGTATGAATGCTGTTTACAAGAAAAGAGTCATTACAGCTTGTAACGCACACACTCACTGTGGTCAACCACTAATCTAAAACTGTTGCATTACATTTTTTCCC